CATTGCTCCTTAGCTCAGAAGTGGTGGGAGTAGATCATGGCCTCGTAGGTGGGGTAAGGGTAGAGCGAAGTCTCCATCACGCTCTCTGCCTTGTCCACCTTGGCCCTGAGGGCCACCATCTGAGGCTTCACGGTGTCGCACAAGTAGGTGGCCTCCTCAGGCAGTGACGTGTGCGGTTTGGCCGCGATCAGAGACTTCAGCTTCTCCAACTCGTCCACGATGCTGTCGTAGATGCCCTTGCGGCCGCCGGCCAGCTTGTCGAAGCCCTTGAACTTCTCAAGGTCCTTGGCACAGGCTGGGAGGAAGCCAGTCTCCACCATCTGGATCATGGTCTCAACCTCGCAGCAGATGCAGGAGATGTAGTTCTCGTACATCACTTCCTGGCGTGCTTCTGTCTCCTCCTTGGTGTAGATCTTCAGGGTCTCAAGGAGCTTGGTGTTCTTCTCGGAGCTCCAGGTGGCGACCGCCTTGGGGGTGGTGTTCAGGTTGGGCAGTCCGCGCTTGGCAGCCTCGACCGGCCATTCTGCGGAGTAGCCGTTGCCCGTGAAGATCACATGTTTGTTCTCGGTGTAGACCTTGGCCACGGCGTCGCGATGGCTCATGCCACCCTCGATAAGGCCAGACAGGTGGGCCATGCCTGCGGACATGATGGCGTTGCAGACCATGATGGGCAAGCAGCAGTTCTGCGAGGAGCCCACAGCACGGAACTCGAAGCGGTTTCCGCAGAAGGGGAAGGGGGCCGTGCGGTTGCGATCCTCAACGTTGGCCTCGATGTGCATGGCCGCGCTGCAGCCCGTCTCCTGCTTCTTCTTCTCAGCCTTGTATCCAAGAAGGTCGCCGCCAGAGCAAATGCTCTCCACAAAAGCTTCGAAACCCTGTCCGGGGTACAGCGAGATGATGGCCGGAGGAGCCTCCTGGGCACCCAGGCGGTGATCATTTCCGGCGCTGGCCACGGTGCAGCGCACCATCTCGTTGTACTGCGCGAGGCCGTAGGACAGGCAGGCGATGGCGGTCACGTAAAGCTTGGCACCAGCCTCGTTCTTGCCGGGGTAGAAGAAGTTCATGCCAGTGTCTGTGCCGATGGACCAGTTGGCATGCTTGCCGCTGCCGTTGATCCCCGCGAAAGGCTTCTCGTGGAAGAGCACCTGCAGGCCCAGCTTAGCAGCCTCCCTGTTCATGACCTCCATGAAGCACACGTTGCTGTCGCAGGACACGTTGGCGGCACGGAAAACGGGGGACATCTCATGCTGACCCGGGGCCACCTCGTTGTGCTTCACCGCCATGGGGCATCCGATCTTCAGCATCTCAGCCTGCACGTTGTCCAGGAGCGTCTGCACACTGCCTGGGATGGCCTGGAAGTAGTTCAGGTCTCCTTGCTGATGACGCGTGGGCAGCTTGCCGAAGAGCGTGCGGCCGGTGTTCACCAGATCCGGTCGGGCCTTGTAGTGAGCAGCGCTAAGCACAAAGAACTCCTGCTCCCATCCCAGGTAGCTGAACATGGACTTGGCATCGGTGCCGATGCCAATGTTCTTCAGGAGTCGCAGGCCATGGAGGGTCACGGCGTCCATGGACCGCAGGAGCGGCGTCTTCTCATCAATGCACTTTCCGAAGTGCGTCACGAAGGCGCAGGGAATGTAGAGGCAGGCGTCCATCACGAAGGGGGGCGACGACCTGTCCCAGGTGGTGAAGGCTGCTGCTGAGTGGGTCACTCGCAGACCTCCATTTGGGAAGGAGGATCCATCCGTCTCACCCTGGAAGAGTCGCTCTGCTGGCAGGCAGGCCTTCATGGGCTTCGTGACGAACTTGGAGCCGAACTCCAGGTCCATCAGCGTGTCTTTCTTGAAGGCACCGAGCATGCCACCAACGGCACCACCCCCGCCACGCAGAGGGAAGAACCAGTGCGCAAAATCAATGGCGCCACGCTCACGGGCCCAGGCAAATATGGTGTCAGCGATGATCTTCTGGTCATCCTGTGAAGGTTTGATTGTTGTTAGGGTTTGGGTTTGCGTTGTTTGGGTTGGGGTTAGGGCTTAGGCTAAGGGCTAAGGGTTTGGGGTTTGGGATTAGGATTTAGGTCTTAGGGTCATCCTCCGGGGTGGCCGCACCGCTCACTAGGCACTCGTTGAAGCGCTGCACGACGGCTGCAGGGAGCTTCTCTGCCATGACCTTGTCGTCGAACATGCAGGTGCCCATGGTGGTGAGCGCGTCGGACGCCATGGCTGAAAATTCGGGCTTCTCAGCAAATGCACAAAAATGAGGAAAACCTTTGAGCCAATGCCTCCGTCAGCCGGCC